TGCTTGTTTTCATACAGATACCCTTACAAAAACACAGGAGGGGAGAGGGACTGTATTTTAGACTGTATTTTAATCTATTGTTTATGTTATTTAATGTAAAATAATAAATTACTATGATACAATTTTTGCACTGTTTTTTTTTCATTAATTCAGGTTATAAACAACAACAGCTCAGCAGCTGTATCTAATTTTTCTTAAAGGAATATTTTACCTAAAAATTGCAATTAGCTGAAAATGTACTCACACTCACCCAAGATGTAGATGATCATTGGCACAAATCTGAAAAAAACTTAACATTACATGATTTGCTCACCAATAGATCCTTTGCAGTGAATGGGTGCCGTCAAAATGACAGTTCAATCAGCTGAAAAAAAAACCCATCACAATAATCCACATGTAATCCACAACACAACTCTAGTCCATCAATTAACGTGAAAAGCTGTTTGTAATGCGTGTAGTAAATTTTTTTGCAAATTTCTATTTTTGGGTGAACTATTCCTTTAATGATGGAGTTCTCACCAGATGAACACCAATAATTCCCATAACACACATACTAAAAACAGAATGTTTCATATTAAAGGAATAATTTACCCAAAAATAACCAAAAATCAAATCAATGTGTCATTATGTCTTTCCAAACCTACATGATTTTATTTCTTAAAACACAAAAGGAGAAGTGCAGAAGTTAAATGACTACAGTAATGATACATTTAATGCAATTTATTTGATCATTTTTGACTTTGTCAGACTCAAACCTGTTTTATTTTATATGGAAAAAAGCAGCCAGAATATTTACTTTTCTGTTCCACAGAAGAAAGTAAGTCATATGGGTTTGAAATAACAGGAAATGAGTAATTAATGACAATGTTCATTTCTTAGAGAACTGGTAATTATTTATTTTTAATTAAAAATACCAGAATGTTACCAGATACACATTAAACAAATTAATAAATATTAGTGTTCAATACAAAGATTTGAATTCATTACTTTGCATGCCTTGTATCGATCCATAAAATGCATATGTAATGATGTCCCATCTAAACAAGACATCCCCTAACTGAATATTTAAATATTTAAATGTTGGATTATGCAAATTCACCATTCTCTTGAACCCTTCATAATAATTTCCGTATCAGCTCAATAATTCAGTGCATAAACATGGAGCATAAAATGTTGGGATTTTCAATGATGTTACTTGCTTCTCAATGTATGATTCTAGTCTATATTGTTCAGAATATAATGGTCTGTTTTTATCTGAATTTATACACCATGATCATGTTTATTTTGCAGATTGTTGGTGTCAAACACTGTCTCAGTCTGAGGCTGCAGTCATGAAACCTGGAGAATCCCATAAACTCACATGTACTGCCTCTAGTTTGGACATGGCTAACTACTGGATGGCTTGGATCAGACAGAAGCCTGGAAAAGAGCTGGAATGGCTGGCAGTGATCAGATATGATAGCCAGTCTATATATTACTCTCAGTCTGTCCAAGGACGGTTCACCATCTCCAGAGACAACAGCAGGAAGCAGGTTTATCTGCAGATGAACAGCCTGAAGAATGAAGACACTGATGTATATTATTGTGCAAGAGAGACACAGTGACTGAAATGACTAGCGCTGTGCACAAAACCTGCCAAGACTGAAAACTAGCTAGAAAACAGCATTTCTGTAGGTCACTTGAGTCTGTCTAGTTCTGTACCCACTCTCACCAGAACACAACAAACAAACAAACAAACAAACAAAAACAATGTCACATCTGTTTGATGGAACTGAGGGGTTGCACGCACATGCCTGCTGCAAATAATCATATTCATTCACTGAAGAACAATATTATTTCCATACCAAGATAGCTGATACTATTGCCTATACAATGAACCTCAATAGTCTCAAGCTCCAGTGATTCCACAATTCAGGGTTTCGATGCAAATGAACTGATGTCTGTTTCATATTTAAACAGCTACACTGTGGAGTGAAGGACTCATCACCAGTTCAGCCTTCATATAAACCATGTTCACTTCATTTCTCTTACTGTTGCTGGCTGCTGTGTCTTGTAAGTAAATTCCCTGGATAAACAAACTGTTTTCTAAGTGTAAATAAATACATATTCATAATTATTTTTTTAAATGTTGTGTTTATCCACAGGTATTGACTGTCAGGTTGTGCTCACACAGTCTGAACAGTCAGTAGTTGTGGCTCCAGGTGCTTCCTACAAACTGACCTGTGCCTGCAGTGGGTTTACTGTTAGTAGCACTAACATGCACTGGATCCGTCAGGCACCTGGAAAAGGACTGGAATGGATTATTTATTATTATTCAGATTCTGATAAGAGCTCAGCTCAGTCAGTGCAGGGCAGATTCACAGCATCTAAGGACAGCTCTAATCTCTATCTGCATATGAATCAGCTGAAGACTGAAGACACTGCAGTGTATTACTGTGCAAGAGACACAGTGGAAACACAAATACAGGCAGCTGTTCAAAAACTCATCGTGAGAAATGGGGTGGACATCCAAGTTACGCAAGTTGAGCATCTTGTAATCCTTACCCCACAAAATAAGCATGACTGAGATGCTACACTCTTAAAAATAAGGTGCTTAAAAGGTTCTTCACAGCAAT